TTTGAAAATAAAGCTTAAATTTTCTGATAGTTACTTTCCCTTTTAGTAGAGTCACTCAAATTTTGAAAAATTTAAGTTTAACAAATTCTTAACTTAAATTAAACAATCCGAAATGGACACCGAGAGCCATCACCCGAGTGTCGGACAAGTTCTCAACAGACAGTGAGCATTGGACAGTGTACCGCTTTCTCGGCAACCATCGGACAACAAATTCTCCCCACCTTCTCTCCGCTACTTTCCAACAAAATTTTGTAAGAAATAAAAGCAATAATTTGATACAAAAAAAATCCTCTCTTTTTGGTAAAAGTAACAATAGATAAATAGTTGTGCAGAACATTTAACCTTTTCTGTTTAATTATCCTTTTTTAAGTTAGTACTGTAAATCGTCTTCCTATGATATAGTTTAGGAAGTATTTTGAACTCCACACTGTCAACAACATTAGAAATTCATTGGTGGAGTATTACTTTTCCGCCGCGTTAAAAAACCGTGACGCGAATAAGAAAGGTCGCCATCCTTCGGATCCTAGTTGTTCCAGTACTGCCCCTAGGTCGTTGTGACTGGCATCGTACACCACTCGAATTAACCTATGAATGTCGGAGTTTTTAAGTTTGAAGATGTTTATGACACCCTGTTCGATGTTTTGCAAGCAGATTCGCTGTCTTCAGTCCAGTTAAAGTCGTTTTTTAACATGGTCTTGGAGACCACGATAACTCTGCAAACCCTGGCAAGTATTTATGTACGCTGTGTTTTGAGCCCGTAAACGATTTCAATTCGGTCGCCGTGTTCGTTGCCGCGAGCGCTTCGATCGTTGCCGTTTTTCCTTTCAGTTGTTGTACTCCCGGTTTCGTGATTTTATGGCCTAGCCATTCGCGAACTCGCACTTCTTAAGATTAAGTGGCAGATTCTCGCGGTTTAGTTTTTCCAATCTTTTTTATTCGACTAAGGATCTGTGTTCGATTGCGGTCCCCTTGGTTGTTACCTGTTTATCATCGATAAATGCGTTTTCCTGCGGGAACTCGCTAAGAATTGAGTCCATCACCCATAGGAACTCTGGTGGCTTTGAGGTCAGACCGTAAAAATTTGTGCGAAATCGGTATACTTTTTTTATCCACCTTTTCCTGTAAAGTTACTGGTATCCAGCTTTTTTTGTTCCATTGGTATTATCACACTTGAATATAGACTTTTTTCGGGTTAACTAGTGTAACAGAATCAGTTGAATCACATCTTTTCACTTCTCTTCTTTCATTTCCAGGTTGCTTTCCCATTGGCCTGGAGGTAAACCAGTTGCATTAGGACCCTAAGGTCGGGTTCGAGTCGTGGCCTGATCTTGTTTTTTTTCTGTATCAAGCAAATTGAAAAAAAAATCCGAGCAAATTGAATGGTTGGTTTTTTCGTTTGTTCGCTGAGGTTTTGTCGGCTAAGTGCTTGTGCTGTAGACAATTTTCTTTGTTTTTGCAAGTGCAAATATTGTTCATTCGGGGGGCCTTGAAAGTTTTTTGGAAATAGTTTTCATAAAATCTTTTTTTTGTCGGTTCAGTTAGTATCCGGTCGAAGATGGTCGGCGTAGACGCCACAGCACGGTGTTTTTTTCTGTAAGAAGTTCACATTGTAGTTGCAAGTGCTGTTCATTCTAGTTTCAAGGGGCACTTATAAAAAATCAAAAATTTTCGGATCAAGTGGTTTCAGCTCAAAGATTGTTGGCTTAATAGCCACATCATTGATTTTGCTTGTGCTGCTAAAAACTTTACTTGCAGTTGCAAGTGCAATTAATGTCCATTATTGTTTAAAGTGGGACTTAAAACATTTTTTCGTAAAATGCCTTTTTTCGGCTCAACTTGTGTCTGCTCAAAGATCGTCGGGTTTGTTTCTTTTTTCGTAAATTTTGGTTTCGTTGTTGCTGATTTAAAGTTCAATTGTCTGCCATGCCTGTCTGGAATGAACTTCTATCGAGACATAGTAGAGTTTATATGACCTAGTTTTAAAAAGAAAATCATTTTCGGCTTTTTGTTTTTTATTTTATGTTAGTGTTGTATTGCAAGTGTTGCGAAGCTGTGCTTCGCCTGTATGAAAAATTCCGCCAGCACTTTATAGTTTCTTGTTTTTCCGGCTCGAGTAAAAAGTTTAGGGAAGGCATTAATGAAATGTTGTTGCCGCTGGTCGATGTCTTCCTTTTCTCATCCAAGTTTTAGCCGCCTGCCTCTTTCCCTTAGATGTTCATGATTGCTTCCACTGGATTCGTGTGCATGATCTGGAGACCCAGTTTCCCCATGAGATTGGGCGCCACAATTGACGGTATGCTTCCTCCTATGATTCTAATTTCTGCTTTGGTTGTCCATCCATTCGTCGACAGTTCCTCGTCCAGTTTGGTGTTGATGCAGTCGCGAAATTTGTCGTCCTCTGTACTTTTCTGCTTCAAGTGAAGTACTGCTCTCTCCAGTCTTCTTGAGATCGTCCACTGTGACGATCGATATCGGTGATCCGCTGACGATCCAGATGTTCATCGGGTGTCCGTTTATAGCAATTGTCAGTACAATAATTTTCTGAGCTTTCTGGCGACCAGCGGTGCTCTTTTCTTCTAAAGGTTCGACCGATTTAGTGTGTTGCGAACTCACTTCGTTCAAGAGGTGGTCTTCTCCTTCGAACGATTCATCCCCTTGGATTAAGCCAACCTATCTTCCTCCACGTGACATTCTTTTGCACCGGCACGTTTTCTCGTAGTCACCGACCTTCTTGAAGAATTTACATGAGACCGACCGCGCAGGGCTTATTGCAAAATTTAGGGCGTGAAGTTGGGCTGGTTGCAATTATAGCATTTTCCGTTTGACGGTCGAGGTCCTCCGCAGTTATGAAAATTTGTAAGGTTGTTGGAATCGGGTACTAGACATTTCCCGTTAAAATCTTTGTTCATAGGATGATCTCCAGTTTCAATATCTCCATTTTTCTGCATGTTGCATATTTAGCACCTCGAGTTACCGTGTCTAGAGTTGATGCGTTACTAGATGTACTGGTGAAATCTTTTTGCTGTAATTTTTTTAAGCCTAATTGTTTTTTTTGTGGAAAATTCTTCTCAATTGATTGTTTCTTTCAATTCAAAAAACTTATCACGCTCAAAGGCTTTTTGTGTACGTTTTTAACACGCTTTTTAGTGAACCCTTAAATTAAGTGATGATTTGTTTGATTCTGTTCCTTTATCACTTTGTATGTTAGAACGCTGCATGGTTTCTGATTCTTTGAGCAGCTAGCTTAACGCAACTTTGTGTCAAACTTTTATTTTGAGCACTTTCATTTCAAATCCATTGATGGTGATGGCATACTGTATTGATCAAATTTCTAATAAAAAGTTTCTGTTTCAATCTAAAACAAATTTCTGGAAATTTTGACTTTGTTGTCTTGTGTACGAAGGTATTCGGCGGCCGTTGCACGGTATTTAGGAATATGGTACTTTTTAATAACAGAAATGTTGTGGACATGAAATTTCTAGTATTTTCTAAACAACGGGCTTTTAGAAATTTCTACATTTTTTGCATTTTCTTAGGTTGAACTTTTTGTATTCAAGTTTTTTGAAATTTCTTTTGATACATCCGGATGTTCTTGATGGACATGCAGTTTGTTTATTTCTAGCGAAGCTTAAGATTTTCAGCGAAGTTTATTTGGTGTATTTTGGAAGTTTTGGCTTATGGTTTTTGGACCGAAACTTCGCGCGCGTTATTCGTGTCATTTCGATCTTAAAGTTATCAGAAAAAATGAACGAAATTTGAATGCTTTGTTTGTAGTATGAATGCTTTGTTTTTGGCAGTTTTATTTAACACGAATCGCAAAACATTATCTGGGTTTCCAGCCGACGATTTCCAAATACTCCATTTGTTTGTTTCTTCTCTTACAAGTCAGATTATCTTTCGAACTTCGGCATGTAGTTTGATATCGCAAGTGGAGCGAACTTCTGCTTCGCCTCTGTATTTTTTCGCCTCTGTAGTGTATGAGTACGAACCCTCATTTTTTCCAACTTGAGTGCACATATTGGTTGGTGCCACGTTAGAGGTACGTTTACAGATTTTTCATAGCTTGTGCTTTGACATTCGAAAAGTAATAAGTTAACACAGTTGATGCATTTTAAATTCATCAAATGAACCGAAAAAAATAATGATTTGTTTCAAGCAATATAACAATAATATAAACTCGATTTCAAGAAGTTCTTATAACTCTAGATATCTAGCAATTTTTTGAAATGCATAATTTATTCATAATATGGCTTTATGCCTTACGATTTGCCACACTCAAAGTTAGTGTTGATGCGTTCCTTTTGTTATATTCTAAATCATTACTTGCAAAATTGAGTCAATTGGTTTTTGGTGCCACTTTTGCTCAATTGCATTGACAATTTATTAGCATATGTAGCTGCTTTTATTATGACTAGTGTTTGTCGGTTGTTAAGATTGCGTGGCTGAGTGGATAGTGCGTGAGACCCAAAATCTCTTGAATGCAGTAGGTCGCAGATTCGAATTCTTCATGTATCCAAGTTTTTGCTAATTCGAGGCTTATTTCACTTGATAGAGCTGCTTTTTGGTCGTGTTCTTGCCAGTGTTTGCAAAGCGCAGCTTCGCCTCTGCTTAAAACATATCAAAAGGCTACATCCCGCTTTAGCTGGGCCCCTAGTTTCAACTATGTTTTCAGGTTGTTCTGTAGTTTTATTTACCATTTATCAACTCTGATATTTAAAAACTTTATCGGTGTTTCAATTATTTGGGTTCGACTCATGTTTTATCGGCTGATTTAACTTATGTTGCGTGTTTTCAAGAGCGAATTTTAAAAGCTCTTTTCTCGGGAGGGAGGGATTTTAGGACTTTTGATTTTAAAAAAAAATTAGCTTTAAAATTTTTTTGACTACAGTTTCGTTTTCGGCTAAATGACGCTCGCTCCTTGATTCTCAAGGTTTTTAAAGATAATGCGAACGGTCATTATCAAAATTTGATTTTTGATTCTGAATACTGTCAGGTTTTAGGTGGCATATTCTCCGAATGCGTCCTCGAGAGTGCACAGGAAGATCATCTTTCTACTCAGTTCCATCTTCGTCTGCAGTCTCCTCCTCTTCTCTCTCGCTCTCAAAGTATATTCTGTCACTGCGGACCTCAACCTGCTCGGGTTCCTACTCGCAGAGGTACAATCTTTCTGTGAATTGTTGATCTTGTGATTACAAACAACCGTGGGCATTAGACTTTTTCTAATAAAAAAATCGTTGTTTAAAATATGCTTACTTTATTTGCAGATCAAATAATTTCCTTCAATTTTGCGCGCTTAGCGTTTAAGTAGCGCGCTAGTTTGGTAATACACAGATCTGGGATTCGAGTCCGAACAGGAGCTTTTAATTTTTTCGGGTCGATTGATTCTCCCTTATATAAAAGGTGATGGTTTTTTGGTTTTTGTCTTCAAGAAAAAATTCACAACAAATTTGATTTTTCGTGGTTTGAATTTTGATTTTTGTTTTCAGTTTTTTTCTTTGTTGGAAAAGTCAGCCGAACATCATCGAAACATCCAAAATATAATAGCCCCGAAAAATTTACTCCTTTTTGGAGTAAAAATTTGTGAAATCTCAGCGGAATAAAAATTATCTATTGATCCAGTTTTCTTTGAATGGAATAAATTCAAGTTAAGAAGTGCCAATCATAGCTAATTCTTGAAACTCAAAGAGCTTTAATGTTAAAGTTTTTTCCTTCGGAAATTATATAATGTTCGATTTTTTCACATGCGAGAGCAAGTGGCTTCTAATCCGGAACTAGTCATTTTTTCTCCAAAAACTTGAAAAATCTGTAAGAATTGAACCTGCTTTATAATGTAAGTTCAACACCTTGGAGACTCCTTACGTCTGGGGTTTGAGTCTCGGCGAGACCTTGTTGTATTTTTTGATATATATATATATATTTTTCAAGGTACTTTTATCAAGGAACTATCGTTTGACAGCTTATTTTTTGTTTATTCAAGTCGAAAAATGAGAAAAAATAATTTTCTTCTAACTTAAGCAATTTTTATTTAAATTTAAAGTCGTCATGTTTTGTTTAACCAAAATTACGACCTCCAGCTTCAGTAAGGGCTGTGAACACTAACAGTATAAAAACAAAAGGTTTTTTTTATGGCTGATTTGTTTTCAGCTGAACGGTTGTCTATCCAAGTTTTGTCGTGCTTTTTTAAAGCTGGTGATTGCTTTATCGATTCTGGATTCCAGAAAATGAAGATCAGTCGAGACAAACCAATAGAATTTATTAGATTTCGTTTTTTTTTTCAATATACGAAAGCTGAAATGGAACGAGAAAATGTCCCGCCGGAATTACAAAAATGAGCCATTGATTCAATTTTCTCAAATAGGGTATTTTTTAAAGTTCGAATCAAAATAGTTATTTAAATTCAATGTGCTGTAATTTGATATATATTTCAGTTTTCTTGTTCTTTCATACCTTTCCAACTTCTGTTGGCTGTGTTTTAAGTCCTATCTTTGAGATTGCAATTTGTGTCTTTCAAAATGATTTTTGTTCTTTGGATCAATCAATTGTTGAGTATCTAAAGCTCGATGCCAGGCCTGCTGCTGTTTTTTAAGAGTCGATGAACGGTTTTTTCAGTGCAAGTCTTAAAATGCTGTTGTAACTTTAGAAAATGCATGCATTCATATAAATGTTTTTATGAATGCCCTTAGGTATACGAGCTTTGAGTTCAATTCAAGTTCATTTGGTAACAGAGGAATAGAGGAAATGGCGCAAAAAACTTGATCGATTCCTAGTTTAGAAAGTGGAATTTAGTTTTTAGGTTTTCCAGAGTAATAAAAACGTTACCTAACAGTTCAGACTTTCACATAGGTCGCGAAGTTTTTTTTTCAGGAAACTTTTAAAAAATTTTTCAGGCTCAAATTTACTTTTTGTGGTTTGACTTTTGATATTTTTCAAGTTCAGTTAATTTCTTTGTTAAAAGGAATGCAATCTCCACTATTGAACAGCAAAATTGTAAAGGTCTCGAAAAACGTTATTGACTTCTAGTTTGGAAAATGTAATTTAGCTTTCAGATTTTCCAGTGCACCTATAGGTCGAGTTTTCTCAAATTGGTTTAATGTTTTAAAAAAGTGCCAAAAACTGTTATAGAAGGAGCTTTCAAGGATCTATTTTTGTCTTTGAAATTCGAAAGATGAAATTTTTTTTGAAAATTCATTTTTTGCGTTCATTGGCACTTTTTCATTTTTATGTTGGCTATGTTTTCGATTGAAGATTGATGAACATGGTGAAAACTCTAATTTAGGTCGTGATGATTTTTTTGTTACCTTTTGAAGAAAAAGTCATAAACCTTGTTCTTTCTCAAATTTGATTTTTCACGATTAGTCTTTCGATTTCTTTTCAAGTTCAGTTCATTTCGTTCGTTAAAAGAAAGGCAAAATCCAATATCGAACAGCAAAAGCGTTAAGGTCACAAAAAATTGACCGACTCGAATTTCGAAAGTAAGTTCAAACTTAAAGATTTCCTAGTGCTTAATGTGACCATTTTAGTGCTGCCAACTGTTCTTGCGTAATCTTTTGCTGATGGCCAAGTATGCTTTTCATCTGAGAGATCTGAGCTTCTCGGAGAGTTGGGAGAACAAGTCCATGTGCACTTACTACACGGAGTTTTATATGGAGCTGACTGTTCTCGGACTAGATCTACTCCATCACGCACACATGCTGGTATGAGACGAACTGTTACCATCTGTTGTAAACGAAGTAGAAATGAAAGCTCGTGTATCTACGGCGGACCTTAGATTTCTCGACGAGGGAGGGAGAAGTATTTTTATAAAATATTGGATAATTTTGTCGACGTTTTTAGTTTGAGAAAATAGATTTTCCGTGCTCTCAAAGTATTCGGTTTTGCCAAAATGTGCTCCGCAGGCAAAGGGATTCGACCACCTTTGGGTGGTCGAATCCCTAAAAAATGGGCCCGCCTTCTCCCTAAATCAGCCCCTGTATGTACGCTTGATCAGATGACTGTTTGTTTAGATAGGATACAATCAAAATGGGTAGTCAGATTTTTAAAAAAAAGTCCCTAAAAAGCACTTCAAATTTTATTTTTCCCAAATCTATTTTCGATCCTAAATCAGACGAGTCGAATTTTTTTTGCCGAAGAAGCAATAATTTTCCAGTTAAAATTTGTCTTGATGTTGAATCGTGAACTGTGTTCTCTTTTCCAGATATGGAGCAACGTTTTCCTCTCAATGGCATGCCTCGTGATATGTATGCAAGTGCGCCACATCATCGTAGACATCCAACATCGCTTCATGCGTCACAAGGAGTTCTGTCTCGTAACTCGAAATATGGATGCCATGTTCCCAGAAGTGCGACTGCAAACCCCCAGGAGTCCCAGAGGTGGAATTGTAGGGGGAAGTGATAATGAAGATGGGTACGAGGATGAAAGCGAGGATACTTGTGCCATCTGTTGGGATACTATTCTAGTTGGCAGGAAGTTGCCCTGCTCCCATGTTTTTCATAGGTGAGGGAGTTTTGTGTGGCGTAAACATTGCTTAAATTTGTCAGTTGAAAGTATTTTTCTATCCGTCCAGCCTTGTTTTTCTTCACCTGAAGAAATCTAGCAATGGTTTATATGACACGTGATCTTGAAACACCTATTCATGTGTCTCTTGGACAATTTTGTTCTGAAGTTTTTTCATGTAACTATATTTGAGAAGAATCAAGAAACCGTGATAATGTATCTTCAGTAAATTAAAAATCTGCAAACGTGAATCAGCATTCCTTAATCTGAAAATTGTTAGGTCCTGTCTTCGCTCCTGGCTGGTCCAAGATTCAACGTGTCCTACATGTCGCCACGCTCTCAAGTTCTCTCAAGATACAACGACAACTACCGAGTCCACGGGAAGCAACGAAACAAACGATACACAGCAACAAAGTCAATCTGCATTCATGTTGGCGCCCAATTTGTTGTCTTCACTGTCATCGACTTTCCCAGCCACACCTCTTCAACAACAAGCAGCGGGTGGTTCCGCAAGACGGAATTACTTCCACTTTGACGGAAGTAGAATCGCAAGTTGGCTCCCGAGTTTCTCGGTTGAAGTAACCCACGGGTCGACCACTTCGCCGAATTCAGCTACCTCTAGCGAAGAGATTTCGAATACACAGAGGGAATATTGGACACATCAGATACATGTTTTGTTCCCCCATATTCCAATAGTAGCAATACAGGATAGCCTGGCGATGACTCATTCTCTGGAAGTGACGATCGATCAGATTCTGGAAGGAACCATCTTCATTCCGGTAAGATTTGAAGTTTAGTCTGTTTTAGAGATGAAATACTCTGCAGTTTGGTTAATCAAACATTTTTCCTTGAAAAAATAAAATTGTGCCAGACGCGTTGCTGATATACTATTTGGTTTTGATGGCTCAATGTTTTTTAGATTTGAGATTGTTTTTAGCCCGGAGCTAGAAGTCCAAGTGAAGGTTTTGTCGATGAAGACAACTTCAGCAACGTCACAGGTGAATCTAAGGTGAGTTAAGAGCGACTGTCAGTCATTGGAATAGTTATGAAAGCTAAGGAGATAATAATCGGGGTATTTTTGTACCTGCCTTTGAAAGCAAAAAAAACAATACCTGACTTTAAAAATAAAAAAGTATACGTGGATATTTACTCTTTAAGTATGACATAAATTGCTTCAGCCAGCAGAATCAGAAACCGTTCTGGTTCAAAAGTCGAGCTCAACTACGTCATCGGAAGACTCGAAAACGGAGGGAATAGCAAACGACTCTTCGTTAACTTTTGATGCCTCAGCTTCAAGGGCTGATCAAGATTCAACGTTGCAGTTGCAGGTCGCGCCACCCAACACAGCCGCGAGTACTAGCGCTGGCGCAGCGTGCAACATTTCTCTTACACCTTTGAACACAGTTTCGAACGTACAATCTGAAGCTTCAGGGGCAAATCAAGAGTTAGTTGTTGATGATTCTGTGAGTAGAATTATGCCTAGAAGACCGAGTATTCCTATACCCGATAGCGTTCGAAGAAGAAAAAAGTCGTCCGCTTCGAATTCAATTTCAGATCACGTCGACGGTAGTACCGGCTCTTCTTTGTCACATAGTTATGATCGTGTCGCGTCTACTTCAAAGACAGTATTCGGTGACAGGTTTTCCAAAAACCCCGAGGAAAGGCAATTGATTCTACAACAGAGAAAGCGCCAGATGATTGCGGATTGTAAGCGGTAAGTGTTATTAACATTCAGCTTTTAAGTCTGTTGTGCTTCTGTAGAAAAAATTCTGAGATTCTCTTGTCCCATTGTCGAAAAAAAAACGGTTAGAAATTTTTGAATTTAAGCCCAATTTCGAGCGAGTAAAAAAAGAACAGGCTTATTATAGAAGGATTAGCCAGGATGCTTTAGTGTAACTACAGTAAAATTATTGTTTGAAGGTTTTTAAGTGCTTTCTTGGGAATAAGAAACTTTCAGCAAAACAAAATTTCAGCCAAAAAATTAAAATTTTGTCATTTTTCGCCCAAAACAGTTGCCCGATTTGCCTTTTTTATTTTGTTTGTCAAATATGCCTAAAGTTCTATATTTTAATCAGATCTTTTTATCTCACAACTCACAAAAAATGCCTAAAAAGCTTTTTCATGTTTTTTTAAAGTTTTTTTGAGTTGTGTGATAAAAAGATCTGACAAAACTATAGAAGTTAGGCATATTTGACAACCAAAATAAAAAAGGAAAAACGGGCAACTGTTTTGGGCAAAAATGTCAAGAACACCTTTTTTTTTAATTGAAAGTTTTGCTGAAAGTTTCTTATTCCCAAGAAAGCACTAAAAAACCTTCGAAAAATAACTTTGCTGTAGTTCCACTAAAGTTTCATGGTTTATCCTTCCAAAATAAGTCTGCTCTTTTTTTTGCTCGAAATTAGACTTAAATTTAAAAATTTCAAACGTTTTTTTTTTCGATAAAAATGCCTAAAAAGCTTTCTGGTTTTTTTAAAAGTTTTTGTAGAGTATATTGGGAACATTCTGTGCTACTTGCGCAGAAACAGGCTATCCTTGTTTTTTTCGTTTTCCACGCAAAATCAGGTACCACGGCTAATCAGCGGACTTTTCTTTTCTTTACACTACGCCACTACGCACAAAAAATGAAGTGTTATAAGAATATGGTCGGAACACTGTGCTATGTGCAAAGCAACCGGTTATCTTTGTTTTAATGCGTATTTATATATTTTAGTGCGTATTTGGAAAAACACAGTTCTGATGATCTCAAAAGGGAAAACGAAGAATCACAGAAAGACTTGAATTAGACAGGAAAACTGAGAAGAGATTGAATTTAGATTGACAGTCAGATTAAGACTCTTGCTTAGTCAGAACAGTGTATTGAAAGTACTAATGACAGAACTATGAATTTATCCATTAGAGTTTGAGTATCAAATAATTTTTATTTTGATAGTTATGTTATGCACTTAAAAAGGACATTAGTGGCACATATCGGTGTTTTGAAATGATTTATTTATCTACTTGAATATAATTGCACTTACGATTAGTAAGGGAATATCAATCGGGTACTAAGACTTTTTTCCAAAAAATACATTGTTCACAGGTCTAATTTAGACTGAATGGATTTGCAACAAGTCGATTTGCTAATATCTATTTTTTTGTTCTTTTCTTTCTATTATCGTCTTCTAGGTTTCGGCCTATTCTATATCGACCTAGTTGCCTCATATTGCTTCGTTGGAAGAGCAAAAAGTTTTTTGGTGTTACTAGCGTATTTGAGGGGGGGGGGGGGGTGGCTATTTTTTGACAAGCTAAATAAATCGCTTAATTGCATGTCATTTATGGAGCTCGAACGCTAATTAACTTTTTGAGCGTGAGCAAACAAAAAGTTGTGGGTTTTTTGTTGAATAGGTTTTTGACCTAAATGGTCGGCTATCATGCTCACATTTTTTTCTATTGAATTAAAGTTTTCTTAAATTAGTTGGATAGAATTCTTATTTGCGTTTATTTTACGCAACCTTAATGTTTTCAATTATTCTCAAAAGGTGAAACCGCAAGTTTTAGTTCTTGATTTGGGCTTTTTAATTATTTTTTCTAATTCCTTCATTTTTTTCCGTTATTTTAAATTCCTTGATTTGTCTTTTTTTGAGAAAATCAAATTCGTTATTGGCAATATAGTGGATATTAAAAACCATTTTTAAAAAAAATAGTTATTCAAAAATCTGTCTCAAACTTCTGATTTTCTGAATATTCTCTTCAAATTTTTTGTGATTGCTGTACAAGATAAAACATCATGAAATTTGGCCCATTTCTGCACTCAACTGTTTTAAACAATTGGCATCTTTGCTTTTTTCGGGTGTTCCAATGTTCGGAATGTATGTTCAATTATTTCGAAGTTTTTCATTGATATTTTATGTACCGCAAAAGAAGCTCCGGATGCCTCTGTTGAACCTTGAAAAGCAAGTCTTTTAATCGGGTATTACACTTTTTTCGCGAGGTTCTGAAGCTGAGTTTTGATTAAATGGCAGTTCTTTTTTCGGGTATTTAAGTGCCAATGAACGAAATGAAGCTACCAATGAAGATTTTCTAAAGGAAAACCCTGTTCACGCTCAATTTCGATCTTTGGCTGTTTGACTTACATTTTTTTAAATTGAAGTTCATTTGCTGAATTTAAGCTTAGTTACGCTTTGGAATTAGAAAAGAGCAAATCGCGAGAAAAACGTGGATAGCTGTTAGGTTCTAAACTTGATATGCTTTTGATTGCCCAGAGAAGTAACCATATAATTGTTGGCCCAGTTTTGGCTACTTGGGTTAATTATATAAAAACGTAGTCAATTATAGAAATTTCTGGAATACCAAAGAGCCTTAACGTGGTATACTTTTTTTCGGATTCCCTGAGTTGATTTACAATTTTCTGTTTGCTGTGTTTTTCCCATAATTTTAGGTACCTCATTAACAAGGCAGATGAATTCGATTGATATATTTTAAAGTCGTAAAAATAAACTATCTCATTTTCTTGACAGCAGGAATTATTTTAGCAGCCTTCAGTTTAGGCTACTTTAATTTGTTTTTATAATACGACATTTTTCTGCTCATTTCTTCCGAACTTTTTTAAAAAATCTTAGGCATTTTTTAAATTTCAGCCGTATGAGTTAAATCTGCTCAATTAAGGGTGAGTCATTATCGCCTGGTATAATAATTAAGCTTGTGTGAATCGAGTTGTTGCTTACAAAGCGATGAGCTAGGAGAAGAGTTGAAGAGAAAACTGCATAATGCGCTTTTTTTTGAAAAGGTTGTGCTCCTGTGACGTATTTTCGCATTTCTTGGGCTTTTTCTCAGTTTCCAGTTACCAAATCTTTTTTTTAACCCAAACTAAGTAGCAACTGTCGTTGCAACGCAAATAATGTTGCGACAAATTGTGTTCATTTTGAAAATGTTCATTTTGATCAATAAACAGCTATTAAGTAGAGACAATGACAAGGATATTAACACAGACTATTATATTACAAATAGCACTTAAGCTTCCAGGTATCATGGATCTGTATTGTAGAGATAGAAAAGGAGACCAGCTGCAAAATAAGAGGGTTCAAACCTGTGCAGGGTCGGATGTTTTTAAGGAACTATTTCGTATACTAGCTAAAATCCGTCCGTTCTATAAATTGAGGCATGTGCAACTGGTAATTTTTTTTGTTCCTTTTCAAAATGACTTACCGCTAATGCGTCGTAGCGTTATCGGTCATATTTTTGCTGGTGTATTTTAGAGGACATCAGATATATTTCGCGCTATTAACGCGTAAGCTGAGATTTAATCCGTCAAAGAAATCGTTCCAAATTGGTTTAAGAAAGCTTATTTGTGATAAAATGTTCCTTTGTTACGGTTAATTCTACTTAGTTACAAATAAGATATGTTTAAAAAGTGAATTAATCTCTAAGTTAAAACATTAAAAAAGTGAGCGGTCCTTCTCTCCGTCGGAGAGAATGAAGATAGCAAGGTCAAATCAAGATTAACCAGTTTCGATACTTTAAAGTAATTAGTGAAATAAAACAAATGGTAAGAATCACAACATTCCCCTTAGTGGAAAAAAATTTAAGTTACTAAGCGCCATGATACCTAACATGTTATCAATCCCTTTTTCTCCCTCTCGAGAAGTCCGACAAATGAAATTTTAAATACTGCACAGTATAACAAATGTCATTTTGATGCTCCAAAGGAATGACTAAATTATAGAGGATAATAAATTTCCTAAATCCGGCGGATTGTAATCCGTAGTTACAGCTAAGTAAGCACTAATTGCGCTTTAGACAAAATACTAGTACAGATTATAAATGACTAAATGTGAGTTTTAAAATTTGATTGAGTTTAGCTGTTACCTTCCATAAATTTTTCCAGCTCGGCGTTGAAAATTTCACTATCTAAGTCGATGTAATTTTCAAAACAGTTCACGGCATCTCTCAGAGAATCGTCAGTAGAGGCGATGGAGAATCGATCAGGAGATTGGGTGTAAGCTAGGTCCGGTGTACTGTCTTCCGGTAGTGTGTTGCAAATGTTGGTCTGATTATCCAAGGGATTCTCTCTGAAAGTTTGTGTGGGGGAGCTCGAGCTGTCATCCTCGTCCAGAGATATAGGATTAATAGCGGAGCCTGGTTGGTTTTCTAGCTCATCTATAATATCTATGAAATATCGCTTACCATAGAATTTAGGGGGGCCAACATTTCGGCTTGAACGTCTTAAAATAAGTTCGTTACCGGTGGTATTAGTTTCATTAGGATGTCTATCCTCGCTGGTTTCAATTTCGTCTGAGGAGTCCTCTGTTTCGAAAACTGGGAAATCGACCGGTTTTTCTCCCACCAATGGTTTTGTCCAATCCGAAGGAATGTTTGGCGGCTCCGTTGTCGTAGCCGTAGAAGGTTCGTCAGGTGGATGTGAGGTAGTTTGAAGTGCTGGTTTTATACTAATTGGGCATTCCGCTGTGTCCGAGGGTTGAGATTGTTCGTCTAAAATCTCAGGTTTTATATTAGTTTGATATGTTTTAGGGTCTAATGATGAGGTAGGTTCTTTTTTAAAATTGTCGTTATCTGAAATGAAGCGTTTTCTTATCATTTCTCTACATGGGAAACCTCCCGCAATCCATTCCCAATCGCTAATGTCCGACATATCCGACGGAATAAACATTGATTCGTCACCTGCTAGGTATCCAGTATTCGAGGTCGAGGCTTTATTTTTGTTCTTCTTCGATTTGTTGGATTTTGAAGGCTGGTTCGTTCCTCTAGATCTGGTGGTGACCGGGGTGGGCGACACTGTTTGTCTTCCTGACTTAGTGTCTGGTTTCCGCGTCTGTTGTGTCTTCGATTTGTGTGACTTTCTTGGACCTACTTGTAAATCACCGTTAGAGAAAAAAGGGAAGGAGATATTTCCTTTGAATGAACGAATTGTAGAAGATTTAGACTTTGGAATGGCGATGTCCGATTTTCTAATAATTTTTCCGTCGGATAATTCAACCGTGGATTTTGTTGAGTTTATTATTTTCTGACCTAGTTGTTTATAGAAGGGATTTCCGTTTATACTTGTGTTAGTTTTCCGTAGTAATTTACCTTAAACGGACTGTTTAAGGACACTCGGGCTGATTGAGGTTTTGAAGTAGTGGGAAGGTCTGAATCATAGCCTTTCTCCAATGGTGACTGATTCTTTTTCGGTATAAGGGAGTCTTTGTATCCGTCCTCTACCCGATCGTCAGCGTTCCAGTCGAGGGCCCTTTCTCTGCTTAAGATCGACTTCCCTTTGTCTAAAAATCCACCGGATAAATTATTAGATGCCAATTGCTTCCAGATCGTGTTCGGTTTTCTATTAAAGTGTATTTCGAACGGTGAGCATTTAATTTTAGATTGGAAGGAAGATCGTAGATTCCAAATGATTCTCGAAATGGCGGTTTGTAATGTGGGTTTTTGTTGATCCAGTGACATTGCTAATAATTTGATTTTTACAGTATGAACAAATTTTTCTACAAGACCGTTAGAACGATGGTCCCCAACTGTACAGAATATTAGTTTGATATTAAGAGAATTGCAAAATAATTTAAAATCCTGACTAGTAAAGCAGGATGCGTGGTCGACCCGAATAGATTTTGGAATCCCATGGAGATAAAAATAATCTTGAAGAAATTCGATTACTGTGTTTGATGACGTTGAAGATGTAATTTTTGCTGAAGGGAATTTTGAAAAACGGTCTATACACAATAAGATGTATTTATTGTTTCCCCAGTTGTTATCTAGTGGGCCGGCAAAATCAAGATTTATTTCCTCATTAGGTTCAAATAAGGTGGGAAGTTCACTAATTTGTGAAGTTGGAATGATGCTTTTTATGTTCTTACCGGTTTGCGTGCATTGTGTGCAATTAATCCCGTGGAAGTAAATTTGTCGATATATGTGTGGCCACCAAATGTATTGTGCCAAGTATTTCATACCGAATTGGCCAGGGTGAGATTCATGTAATGT